GAGACATCATATCAAACATAAAAAAAAGACATTTTGACACAAAAAAAAGACATTTTGGATACGCGACCCAGTTGACCGAGCAATTTCTGCACTGGCAGCAGTGGCAATTCCCACCCCACCGAAAGGGCATCAAGCTGCGGTCGATCACCATGCTCGATGTGGCTCAAAGCGGCAAGAAGCTCATCGCTTGCGGCACGAACCTTAGGCGGGAGGGCTTCGGGGGCGACAGTAGCTTGATCATCTTGCTCACCTAAGGCAAAACCTTGGGGCCCTTCTTCATCAAGGGCGAGTTCTGTGCTCTCGGACCAATGCTCCAAGCTTCGGCAAGGCAAACGTTCTGCTGCAGCCTTGTCCTTGCAGTGATGGTTGCCGAGGTCGCGCTGATGCTGGAAGGCTTGGGGGGAGGAGGTCGGGTGGGAGTGACGGGACCCTTGGGGGGAGGAGGTCGGGTGGGAGGGACGGGACATTTGGGGGGAGGAGGTCGGGTGGGAGTGACGGGACCTCTGTGATACTCTTAAGCCTCGCATTCTCTGCTGCAAAATCTCGACTTTGATCCAACATTGCCTGATTTGCTGAACGCACATCGAGAATGTCCATCCCGTCAATCTTGAAGCCACGCGTGTAACGATTGGACACAACTGCTCTGAAGGTTGAAGCCGTACTCCCGGTTTCTATCATACTCGGCATTGGTGGGGCAGCTCCCATGGCTGTGGGAGATCCTCCTGACCTCACGAATTCCTGGGCCGGGACCGGCTGCGAAACCGAGGTTGTCGGTCACGGCCTCTGCTGCGAGACCTGGAATCTTCCATGTTGGACCTCGTTGCGACATGTTCCTAGCCAAGCTGACAAGCTAAAACCTGACATGAAACGTAGAAGCCAGGACTGACATGTTGCGTCAACAAAGTCCCATGCTGCATCCATGGGTGAACTCGGCTGTCCGTGTCTGCACCTGCAAGCTGTAAAGTACAGTACGATTACCGCAGCTAACTCTTGATGCCTTCGGCGTGCGTTGGACCTGTGTGGGAATGGGCCGCGCAGGCCTGTTGTGCTTCCTGACCCCTATACCTGACGCCAACACGCAGTGTGCCGGCGGAGTTGCAACATACCCCTGACTAATGTCAGGGACCTGTCACTTCCCTGATCCAACGACTCTATCCAACATCTGCAACTGACTGGCATCATCTTCCCAACGTGGCTTGGTCGAGAATCCGACCTTCAAGTGATGCTTCCAGTACGCCTGCTATTTGGACTCATGGAAAGTCACCTTGCTGAATAACTCTTCCTTGTCACCCGTGAAACTCTGCATGAGATTTGCTATGAAAGTCCATTCCATCACTGGTGGTTCATGAATTTCGGCCTCATGGTACAGTCTCCTGAGGATCCGTGCATTTCTCTCAACCACATCCGGGTGATTCAGGAGAGGATCCGGCCAGCTGATCAGCTTTACCGACACAGCATCGCCACTGGCTTCACCTTCGATTGCCTGCTATGCATAAGTCGAGGACTAGGATCAGATGCAAAGCGAGGGGCCTGCGCTGATGAAAATGTGTTTGCATTGGCCTGACTCGTGCAACAGGGACTTTCAATGCACCACCCTGAGGACTACCATTCGGTCCGGTGCTCCCTCGGCGTATCATCACGTCCCCCGGGACTGCTAACAGCAGGCGGGCTCGGAGGTTCCGCACGATCACTTTGCAGCAACCCTTCCATCTGAGTACGATCCTGATTCTCTTCATCAGGAATGGAACTTATGGCCAATGCTTCCTGACGTTGCGGCCGAGCCTGCCTGCCGATGGAACGCGGCGCCTCCGTAGAGAGATGCTGCCCTCTGGGTTTGCTATCAAAGCAGCACGTTGCTTGCTGTGAACTGCCGGGCTTGGCAAGTCAGGCACGTCAGCATCAGAAACTGGCGTGTCGGAGATCGTTGTTGAGAATGCCAGAAAGCCATCCCTGTTGTTGCTGCAAACGGAATGTCACAGCCTGCAACGAAATCTTCTTCGGCTTCCGGACTCACATAAGGTGTCTCATGCACGCCTGTGCACGTGACATCATCACCTTCGAAGTCGGACGCCTCAAAAGTATCAGAAGCACACGCATGAATGCCGGCCATCTGACTCCAGCTGAAAAGGTTCTAAAACCTTCAGCACACGACGACCTGCGGTCAGCAAAGGCTTTCCGCCAGACAAAGAGATACACTCAGGCCTGAACGAAAATTCGGCATTGGAATCAACTTTGTGCTTACGTACTCTTCGGGCGGTACCTGAAAAGAGAGACAAAGAGAGATGGGCCCTCGCGCTGGTGCTGCGGCAGGCTCCGTCGAGTCTTGCTCGTCTAACGTACTTGGTTATTCCCGGCTTCGAATCCAGGAAGTCTCGGAGAACGGTGGGAGAAAAGGGTTGAAACCATAATGCCACTTCTTCCACCATCTGCAACACCTTAGTACTCATAAATGATGATTTCTTCCAAGTCCTCGGCTTAGCCTGGTTGCCATAAGATTGAAAAGGCAGGTACGTGATCCCAGCGTCCCAGGATCATATCACACTCAACAGTTGGCCTGAGTCCTGCCTGTGAGCCTCAGGCCCCTGGCCATGCATCGAATTCTTTGTATCCACGGACCCTCAACTTAGCATCAAGGCTTACACTTACACTTACACTTACACACAGTTACACACACACACACCTACCTTATGCCTTCTGCCCGCAAGATAAACTCGAGGGAATCCCCGGCTGATCATCCGTCCAGCTTTCTGGCACCACAGGGTCGTTGATACGGTGTTGGTTCGACTTCAGACGGTCGGGGAAGGACGTGGACTCATAGTCGATAGGACTGTGGGCCCTTGTCGCTTCAGGTTATGGACATCAGCCTACAGCCCGAAAGGTACGAAGAAGGTTGATGTGGGAAGTTGTGGGTGGCTTTACGACCAAAGACCGCCATGCCTGCCTCGATGGGCCAGCTCCCCATTGTCAGCTTCTTCTTTATGTGCCTGTGGCGTGTGCCGCCACAGCCGCGGAGGCTCCCAATCTGTCCCAGCAGCGCTTCGAGGTTTGATTCGGGTGGCTCTCCGGAGTTACCCAATGGCCCATGAACGCTTCGTCTCACACTTGCTGGCACTTCGAAGGGATCTCAAGATCTGAATCCAGTCCGAGGTCCGGGTGCAAGATGGGCCTTAGGGCCAAAGGAGGCTTCCGAGACCGTTCAAGGGCTGTGCTTTAGGACCGTGACCGTCCATCTCCGTGCGAACTCAAGGGGCCCTTAGCTGGCCTCTTTGTGATTTAAGAAGAGGCGGGAGGCATCGTCCGCCGCCAGCCACAAGTGGTACCAACCTAACGGAACGTCAACGTGCTTAGTTTCAGCACTTTGGCGTAATTACTACCCGGGCTGAGGGCTGAGTCATGTTCCGGGAGATGCCGGTCCAATAGTCTCTAGATGCGCGCTCCAATAGGGTTAGAGGCGGCGGTTCCAATCGATATTAACAGCTTTTCACACCTGCAGGACAAGATAGTGCTGGCGGAGAAGATTCGAGTGCTTTAAGCTTTCCATTTCAAAGAACGATCGGGTGAAGGGACGGCGGACAGCGTTCATGAAGTCGCGACACCATTTGCAAAGAAGGCGGCTGGAGACTGGCATTTATTGGGGTGGACAAATAGACACATGAGGAAGACTGTGCACTGCAAAATACATGCTCGAAGGGCTTCTACCAAGCTCGGACATTCGAGCATCGCCGGTTGCGGGACTGTGGCGTTGCCACATCAGCCTTTTCGAGAAGCTTTTGCGAGAAGACGACTTCAGAAAGCACGGGGCTATGCTGCGCCGGGTTTGCTCGCTGCCTGGCCTGGCTCATTGATCATCAGAACACCACTCATCCTCCGAGTTGAACAGATCTGTTCACATGGCTGTGGGCAGTGTTACGGTTCGGGCGATTTCGGGTGAAGCTGCGTGAAGGGTTGTTGTGAGCAGGGTTCTTTGCATTCGGTTTCTCGAAATGTAGCCCTGCTCCTGGCACCAAGTCGGTCTTACCCCAGAAACCTCAACTCTGTTCGTCCTGGCGGAATACTTGTCGTTGTGCTTGAGGCCTGCCCAGCTGGTAGCCTTCCAGAAGTTCATCCTGCAGCGGGACTCAGACCCACTGCCTATGCTGAGTGTCTGAAAAACATGTAACAAGTTCCAAGGGAAGCCTAAAGACATAAGCCACAGTGTCAATTTCAGGAGGTTCGTTCGCGGTTGGCTTGGGATGTCTTGGAGATTAGGGGCCCCGACGGTCCCGGCTTCGCAGAAGGCTCTTGCGACTTCAAGTCCACGTTGATAGATTGCTCTCGTAGGGCAACAACACATTAAATACGCGGAACGACATGCATGTGCTTTAATACAAAGACAGCTCGCCCGAACACTGCATCTTGTTCATCCAAGATGCTGCGGTATAACTTCCACCTGCGCCGGGTAAGTGTCTTCGTTGCAGGCGGGGATACGATGGGGAACTGACGTTGACACATGGCACATGTTTTGAAGCCTCTTCTTGGTAAGGCATTAGCGAGATTGCGAGGCTCAACGGCCTTCCAAGCCTCCACCGGCAAAGCACGCGAATCGACTTCACATCGGAATATAGCCTTCACCTTCCAAACCTCTCGCGGCCCGGGCGATCTACCACACCTTGTCAGCCGCGCGCCAAGTGAGATCCGGAATCACGCAGCTGTCCTGACTTCAGTCTCTCCAACCCCATCTGACAAGAGCTTCGAAGAACTGCCACTCATTGCTTAAATACGCAGCATTCCAGGGCAAATCTGGATCATCGCGTAGCCGCACGCTGTCACCCCAAAGCCCGCTGTCCGACTTCAGGTTGTAGAAGTACTCCGCCTGTGTTCGCGCACGTGCATGGACATCCTGAAACTCGAAACCTTCGCTTCTGTGTCCAAAGTCCGCAGCAGGTGAGCTTTGCCCCAGCTTTGGGGGCGCTGGCAAACACATCGTGCCTTGAGCCCCGGCAAAAGCACGTTGTCCTGGAGCCAGCTGTTCCGATGGAGCATCGTGAAAAGATAGCCTTAGCGGCCACTGCCCCACAAAGGTCTGCAGTTCCAGCACATCAAATTCAATTCGGAAGATTCTCGGCTTGAGAGAAACCCTAAGGACTCCTAAGGACCCCAAGATTTAGGTTCCCTTACGCTGTTCCTGCTGCTCGAAGGATGCGTGCTCTACAGATGGGTTTCCTCCCTCTGCAGAGATCAGCCTGACAGCCGCTGTTACTAGCTTTTGGCACAAAAACGCTTGCATTCAAGAGGCCATGGAAGCTGGAGTACACTAAGAAACATGCAATGCCTGCTGCCGGGTGTCCGATATCCGACGAAGGGATCATCTGGTGCACATCGTCCCCGACACACGTTGCAGAAAGTAGTGCCATCCGCTTCTGCCAGGACTGGTTACGACTCATGACCGTCGTGTCCAAGCTTAGGCTTAGGCTGAAGGAGCTCAAGTGCAAGCAGCTGCAGCAGGTTCAGGCATGCAGTTTTCAGACCCAGCAGGAAGGCTTCATGTTAGCAAAGGTGCGGCGTTTCCCAGCACTCGAAGCCAGGAGAGACTGTTTCGACCGTGGGACTCTCGCGGTGAAGGCGGTGCTAAATCGTCATGGATTCAGGTGGTGCGGGAGGATGACGCGCTGCATTATACAGGCTTGTTTTTTGCGATTTTTTGCTAACCGCGTCCCATTTGGCCAGAGCACGCTCCTTCATAGTGCAGCTGACATTGCTGACACCGCTATGTCATGTCCGTAGGAGCTGAGTCTTTGTGTGACTTGAGTCTTCGGCGTCTGAGTTTGTGCCAAACCTGTTACATCAGGGTTGGCAGAGAGCTTGTTCAGCGAGACAACGCAAGCACTGCAACTGTTACCACAGTTACGGCATTTGCAAAAGATGTCTTCAAGGATCTTCAAAATCGACTAACCGACAGTGGCCGAGCCATCGAAGCCGCTCCACGTAAATTCAGTTCACAGCTTGCATCCTGAGCCCCCAAACCCCACCGAAAGCCTACATTGCCTACATGGAAGATTCGGATCCCTGCGACTCTTCGACTGGGCAGAAAACCCGAGGTGTCCTTCGTCTGCGTCACGCGCAGGCAATCCGGCGAGCCGCCGATTCGCAAGTGCCTGCAACCGCGAGGTTCAGACTGAAGCCCTGCATAACTGACGGTCCCCCAGCGCGGTCCTGCTGCCCGAATCCGACTCGCTCCAGGACTCGCTGTTGTAGTTCGTCGGACACGTCCTTGCCTGAGCTCAGCCGAGGGCGCGCTCCCGGAAGCACAGACTTTGCATTTTGAGCGGAACTGCGGCAACTGCTGTTTCAACCCATCTTGAAACTTCAGGGCCTCCTGGAAGCCCGAAAGCCTGACTTCCCCGAAGCGAGCTGCAAGCCCATGTCGCATCACTTACAGTTTTGGGACCTTCATTTTCAGTTCCCGCAGATGCGGTCAGGTGGCCTGGAGCAGATTCACCTCGTTGTCCTGCCATCGTCCCGGCGCTGTCAACTCTTTGCACATGAGCCCAGTATAAGGTGAAGCCAGGAGCGAAAACGAATCTTACTTGGCCCTGGCCTCTGGCCCAAAGCGCAACCCCTGAGCTACTCCAGGGAAGGACGATACTGAAACACGAGTCAATGCTTTGAATTTTGATCCCATGGTCCAAGTTCGTCTTGCAGAGCATTACCGCGGCTCGGAGACAAATGTTCCTTGGTCGAGATGGCTTTGGCTGGGTCGTCTTATAGCCATGGGAGCCTTCTTCCTGCGGCCTTTGCATGCCGGTATCTCATGCTACCAAGCTTCCTGTGCCACCAGAAGTCGGTAAGGCCTCAACACAGCCCAGAGAAATCGCTCCGGACTGTAGACTATACGGCCACAGATCAGATCCAAGACTGGAGCCTAGGATTTCCACAAAAAAGCGGCATCCTGATCGAGTGGAAGGCCCGAAACCGTGATCGTGCTCGGCGAGCCACGCACAAACCTCGCTTCCACGGCCTCTGCGAAGTATGCTCGCACCTGAAACCGTGCTGCAGTTGACGTTTCAAAATGCTAGACCTACACAAAAACTGGCATGCTTCAAGGATGCAAAACTATAAAATTAACTCAATTTGTGTTTCGAGGTTGTGCGGTGGCAGGCTTAAGCTTGTTCCGATTCTCCATGTGCGAGAGTGTGAGTGTTGGATGCCGAGTTCGAGGACGAACATGCCTTGAAATCTAGACTTATTCTGGGTAAAAGCTTCGAAAGCATTGGCAATCATGCCAAGGTGCGAGAACCGATGCGTATGCCCAAACTGTACCGACTCATGCAAAGGAGCCTAAAACCCATCCTTCGTCTTTAGAACCTGCGGAGAGCACGAAAGAGAACACAAAGGAAGCCATGCCTTCTGAAATGGTGAAAGAATCGCCTTTGGTGCCCTCAGCCCGGCTCAGCCCTGCAGGCCCAGGTGCGTGATCCTCCGTCTTGTGCGACATGCCGGTGAATCGATTCGGGATCGTTATCCAGCTTCCTGGCCGTGCGAATAGGTATGTGGCAGTCGGGCAGGGTCCCAAAGGTCCAATTCCTTAGACTGCCTGTTTGGAGCCGTGTCTAGCATGAGAGACAAGGCGGGGCTGGTTGTGGAGCTGAGCTCTTGCACTTACACCGGCCTTACTTGAACAGCTCAGGCATGCTCAGGCTCCATGCTACTCCGATTCGAGACCCTGTCAGCTTTCTGCTTCGCCGATTCTGCTACTAGTGCGACTACGATCGGACACAAGAGTCTCCAGCCTGTGCAAACGCTAGAGACTGAACTTGGTAAAGTGGCAGAAACCGCACACATGCCAAACCTTGAAAGATGACCCACTGATCCATACACAAGTCACGCAGGCTCTGCCTTTTTCTGATGCTTTGTACTGAACTTTGAAGGCGTAGACCTTGACTTTGGTCGATGCTTAACGGCTTAGCGCTCAAGGTGCCCAACCAAACGTTGCCGACTCCAACTACGGACGTGACCCATCAAGAGAGTCAGGGATCTAACAACTGACTCACCTATGTGTTGACCTACGAACATCCATTCAGTGGCAGGGTCTGTAGTCTGCCGCGCTCCACCACCGAGGTGTGCACCGTGGTCAGAACTACTCACTGCAGAAGCTTCGCTCCTGGTGTTGGGGCTGATGGTCGTGAAAAACAGCACTCCTGTGGTAACCGGAGTCCCCAGATGGGAAAGCCCCCACCAAATTTCGCTATGCCTCAACACAGCTCTGCAATAACCGCAGACATTCAAACCCGTCTGAAACTGAAAGCCTCGTCTAGCATTCTCGTATGGCCAGCGGCGAAGTCATCCGACTTGTGCAGCGTTTGGAGGATGATGCCCATTACCTTCTCCTTTGCCTTGGGACAGTACGTTGTCGAATCGTCTACTGCAATCGCGCGACCGTGGCAAACGGAACGCCCAAAGCAACATCGGCCTTGGCAACCCCGACGAAACGAGGATACGCAGAAAACTCCGGACCTGCTGTAAGTCTCGCCGGTCTATCGGCTATCGACCCTTGCACCACGACGAGCTGTGCAAAGCCCAACTCCTAACCTCGCCCGCGATCCACGTGCTTGCAGGGCTGCTCGCAGGTCGATTTCCACCCACTTGTGGCCGTGGTTCCTGGGCTTGTCATAGAGGCTGACCCGAACCCGGCAGGCCGGCACTATTAGGGCTGCCTGGAAATCAAGCTCCTTGGTTCTGTTGCGAGCAGCTGGGCTGCAAAGCGTTGAATGTGACCGGAAACCGTCTCCCGTGACTCGTGCTGGAGCAACCGGGCCATCACTAGCTCCAAGCAGGGAGTAGCCTACGAAAAGCTGTGCAGAAACACGTGACGGATGGCGAGCTTGCCATCTGGCTGCCAACTCTGCATCATGGGACTTCCGGATCTGAAGCCGAAAGCGGGCTCCAAAAGCTCCTGCATACTCCACCTGTAGCACGCGCATAAGTCAATCGATGCTTTGCGTCAAGTAGCGAGGACGCGCACCAACCAGACGTGGAATCCAGGGTCAAGTCAACGCCTAAGTGCTTCTTGCGAAGGCTCCAAGCCTCCCTAAGTGGGCCCCAAGGCTTTTCTTAAAGGAAGGCGCCAGTGTGCCCGAAGCTCTGCTGAGCTCCCCCTAAGCCGACAAGCATCTAGCGCAGGAGCCTGGTTCCTTGTGCGTCCAAGTCACGGCGTGTCCTTGGATGCTCACCAAATTTGAAGTCAAATCTTCGTGCTCAGGGTTGAAGGGCTGCATATTCGGTCTGGCGGGTTCGGACTCCCCGTGTCATTAATGCTGCAAGAACATTTGAAGCATCTACGAGCTGTAACTAGTCAGGCTGTGTGTGCATGCGCTGCCTTCTTTCGGAAACTCTATCGCGTTACTCAGGTCAGCGAGATCCTGCTGCACCTCAGACCTCACCCTCTGCCACATCGGCATAGATGGAAAGTCGAGTCTACACATGCATTCCAGTGCGAGAAAAGCACCGTGCCCTCTGCAAACGGTCCACATCTTTGCGATATGACCAGCCCTTTGAGAAATCTTCATCTAAGAATCCCAGTGTTCCATATCTCCAGAAAGCCTTCGGTACACGAATCGGCCAAACATCAGCTCTCCGAATCCCTGGCACGAAACAGCGCTCTAAGCTACTGGACATATTCCGGCGATTTCCCTTAGCAGAAACCCCAATGACTGACTGCACTCGCGACATTATCGGCTAGCAAAGCGACGACTTGTGTAACCGGAGGCGATTCAGGACCCGCTCGTCGTAGCCTTGCAAGTTGCGGGCTCTGCGGGCAAGGCAGCAACCATGTGCTTCTCTATGGATCTCTGCGGAAACAAAACCAGGGAAGTGATCTATGTAGTGTTTGCAGCTTCGGTTTACGATCCAGGTTTCGGAGTTGCTTTGCATGCGCTCGAAGTCGCAGGGTGCCACGCTGTTTCGCGATGTGGTGTCTGAGGTTTTGCAGCCACGTCTCCTAAGCCTGAGCAGATCTGAGCAGTATGCGCCAATGAAACGCCGCTCAGCCGAGGCACTGCCACGCTCGTCTTTCCAGTGCTCTGGCTGCTTCAGGATCACTTTGCCTGCAGCGAATTTCAAAAGCTCTGAAAATCTCTTGCGTGGGGTTGTACAACTACGCAGGGCTGTCAGAACATTGGAGCTCCGGATTTGCGATTCACCGCGTGAGTCAACGTCTGTAGGGTGAAGCAGTGAAATTCCGTCAGTAAGCCTTTCTGAATCCGGTAGGCCCCTTCCCAACAGATTTCTGTCTTCTCTTGTGCTGTCTCAGCGCTCCTATCCCACTAGCCGCAGGAGCCCCTTCGAATGAGCTGCCCAGTGTCCCCCGCTCCCAGTGTAGCGAAGTAGACACGTGATTCTGAGGCAGTTTCACACCGTGCCAATTTGTGGGTCAACAGCTACCAGATCAACGTCTAATTTCACAGTAGCAAACAAGCATCGATGGCGCCAACGCCCAGCTGACAGCGCTCTCCCGGCGATGTACTATGCAAATTTTGGTTTGGCTTGCAATGGTCCTATCTGTGATGCTACGTCAACACAATCATGCAGAGCAGTCTCGTTTGATCGCAGGACAAATCTGCATATGAACCAGGTGATCAGACTCGTAAAATCAAGATTGATTGTTGCGTTCCAGTGACCCCTTGTACTGGCGTCTGGCACTGGGATTCTGGGAAGCGGAAGGCAAACCCAAGCCCCCAGCCCCCAGCCCAACAAGCCCTGACGACAAGGACTCCAAGCATCTCCCGATGGAAAACACTTATGGTATTACCGGCTCCTCGCAGCAGGGGTTCGAATCTAGCCGGCCCACAATAATTAGTCGGGACACAAGTATCCATCTGACCTCCCACCATCAGCTTCTTCATCAGATACCTCGGAGCTTCGGAGCTTTTGAGCTTTGCGTCCGCGGAACGCCTAGGCTCAGGGCTTCAGACACATTGCGTTCTTGAAAAATCCGGATCACAATCAGCTGCACACACACATGAGATCGAGCTTCCCAAGCGAATCGCAGTTACACATCTCCTGTCAGTGGTAGCTTGTAAGCAAAAGCTCCCTGGATGCCGGATCCACCATGTTGCTTCGCTTGAATGCCACAACACATTCTTGAATTACCAGTGTCTGCACGTTCCCACAACCGGTGCAGTTGCCTGCGTTCTTCTTGAACAAAGTTGGCTGTTTCAAAGACCCCTATTCCTCGTCCAGCGGTGACATCAGCTAACTACAATCTCTTGAACTGTTGCCGGACCAGGTTGCGTGGATGCCTCCTTCATCTCTTCCCTGTGAGGATGGCTGACATGCAAACAGGACATCTCTGTGCAGGATGACACCTTGCCTGGCACCCCATAATGCCTAGATTCCACGAACCCTTTCGCTAGGAGAACCTTGCCCCAATGTTGTATGATTCTATAAGCATGCAGCCGATATTGGCCTGCTGTTGCATTCCCAAGTCGTGCAGTGCTTGAGAGGCGCTTGCTCAAGAGGCCAATCTGAAGGGACTGGCTAGGAACCCTGTCGGCTTCCTCAAACTGCAACTAGCCATCGCCTGGTGAGAATGTAATTCCAGGTGATCAGCTCTGCGACCTCGACTGCAGCTTTGCGACGAAAGGGAGGGCAATCGACCGCTTGACACTACTGTGCCTGACCGCCTTGTCCTGTCTACCTTGGCATCCGGACCATGTCACAACAAATAACCCATGCATCCAGCCTGGTCACAAGGTTGAGGCTTGCAGAAAACACACGGCAAATTGACAAACCACTGTGGAGCCGCTTGCCGAGACCTTAGGCCTTAGGCCTCGAAACCCTTCCTCACATGCAACATTGAAGCCAGAAAGCTCAGTTGGGAGACCTGGGCCTAGTGGCATGGCCCAGGTGCATCCAAGAGACAGCCCAGTCCGATTTTTCAACGATGGGACCGCTATTGATCAGGAGGTGCTGGTCCACGTAATCTCAGGAGCAAATCCACACGCAACCTCAAACCCTGTTGCAAGCGCATGTCGTCTTGAGCTCTGGCTCTTGACGGATTGGAATACTGAAAAAACCTGAGGAACCTGGGAGTGCCTTTGGCACTCCCTGGCCTTGGCCAAGGCAAACTCGTCAGAAAGGAACTCTTCATCCAGTAAGGCCCCTCTAAGGTCAGCCGTGCGGCGATCCGTCTTCTGGGTTCCAACGTCGACGCCTTCGCACAGGCGATCCCTGGTAAGAGCTACGTCGCTCCTCATGCTGCTTGCGTTTGGGACCATTGTCGATCTTGAACTAGACTTGCGGCGACACTACTCCGAATCGACGATTCCCCAAACGCCTTCATCCGAGAAATCCGAACACCCGTAGTGCCGTAGTGTTCAATTGGCAACGGACAGCCTTAACAAAGGCCCCTCAGCAACTCCGAACAACTCGGAGCCGGCGCTTATTGTTGTACCGGGCATGTGCGGGTTCAGAGCTTGCCACTTGTGGCCAGATTCAGGCTCCCCCAGTCCCAGCAGCCCGCGTTCGATGGAGGGACTGAAAGGAAAGGAGAACCCCATGTTGAAAAAATCCCGGTGGGGCCCCGTGACCCGTGTGAACCTTTTGTTGATAGCTACGGCGCACTGGTGCGGCAGGCGCAAGAAGGGGCTAACTGTTTCCAGCGATCCCATGTCCCTGCAGACCTTCAAATCAAGTTGCATGTTCCGGGTATACTGCTTTCGTGCTGGCAGGTCCCTCGGTTATGATGGATATGGAGCACTAGGCCGATAGGCTTGCAGTTCGGGCTTGCTGCTCCGGCAACAGCGGTGCAAGCTGCTTCTGCGACTGTCCAAGCCTTCCGTGCTCCTTGATGTTTCTCTGTTCTGCCACGCCACAATATATATATATATACATATATATATATATATCATTCTTGGTGTCCCAACCATTTGCTCAGTGGTCCTGTTGACAGTATCCCTCCTTGCAATCTTCATGCACCTCGGCGTCTTGTCCCCGTGGAGCTTCAAAGAGTGTTGGGCTAAAAACAGAGAGCCCCTTCCTCTCTTCTGTTTCTCGCTCGCTCGCTCTCTCTCTCGCTCTCTCTCTCTCTCTCTCTCACTCCCTCTCTCTCTCTGTGTTTGTAACCAGCCCAATGTACACTCGAATGTTCAAGATGCATTTCTGAATGTTATGATGCCTAATGGCATTTGGCTCGGCTGCCGCTGGCCGCTGCAGTGTTGGGTCGTGGTCGCTCCGCGGTTGCCACTGTTGGTGGTGGTTGTCGGGCTTGTCCCCCTGAGTGGGTTGTTGTGGAGTTCGTGGTGGGTCGCGGAGGTGGCGGTTGAGCAGGTCAGCCCAGTCCACGTCTTTGCTGCTGGGTGTGGGTGCCAGGGTGGTGGGCTTGCTTTGCTGCTCATGCTCCCCCCATCTGGTGTGATGAAGGCCATGTGCTTTCAGCCACCGCTTGATGCGATACTTCTGGGCTTTGTTGCGTGTGCGGGTAGCTCCCCCTCCTTCGTGCTTGCGGGTGGGTCGAGCTCTGTTGGGGGTTCGTCGTCACGGTCCCCCCCAGGTGTAGTCTGCTGCGACTTGCTCCTCCTCTGCTTCTGCTTGCGCATCCCCCTCTGGTTGAGGTACAAGCTCGCGGGTGATGAAGCTGGGGGGGATCTGCCCCGTTGTCACCCACTCGTAGTGCTCCACCATAGTCATGCCCGGTATTGGCTTGAGCCCTGCTGGGGCTTGTCTGTTCCCCGTGGCTGCATGTATAGCGTTAGGGGCGCTTGGGGATCCCGGCATCCCCCCGAGGCCGGCTGCTCACTCTCTCTCTCTCACTCTCCCCCTGCCGGATGCGAAGTCGGCTTCTTTCTCCAGATGACCCTGAAGTGGGCCACACAAGATGCCCACTTACCCTCCCCTCGCCCACCGTCCACGAAGACGTACTTGGCACCGGGGGAAGCACACATTGTGAGCCACCTGCAGAGGAGACTTCCGAGGTGTTGCCGTGGCCCTGGTATGGACTTCCGTTTCGGGCACTGTGCTCCTGCCCGCACCAGCCTTGAACCCAGAAGCCTGTACCACATCCAAGATCCACCCCTGGAGCGAAGCCCAGGTCAAGGCTCCTAACCCCAAGCTTAGAAGCCCTGCAGGCGCACTTGGTGCTCTTCTGGCGGAGGCCCGTCGCAGTCTGCCAGCCTCGGTGCTCGTTCTGCTTCGAGACAAGCAGCGTCTCCCTTGTCCATCTCTACTCTCGCCGACACATTCCCTTCCCCTGTCTGCGCCCTGGACACTTCAATGCGAGCTTTGACAAACTCCCCGCCGCAAATCAGCCCTGGTCCGCCGGTGTGGCCTGTCTTAGGATGCTTGACAGTACAGTAACGAATGGACCTGCGGTCGATAGAAATCATAGAGCCTGAAAGTCCAAACCCTCGAAACCAACAAAGGCTGCAACTGTGACCCTCCAACCACTTTGTAGAGTCGCCGTGTGAGTAGGCCAGGCCCACCCCAACTGCATGATGTCCAAACAGGTAGTTGGTCTTGCTGCCTGTGGCATGTACAGCTGTTTGAATGAATCGATGCTTCATGCTCGCGAGAAACGGCCGTGCACGACACCGTGCTGCAAAGCAGAAAAACCTGAAACTATGGTTTAGGACTCCGGTTCTCTGCTGGCAAGAACTAGCTGCGGGACGACGGTCAGCGAAAAGTATATTCCTCAGAAGTGCCGGAATACATCCGTCAAAGCCGTCAACCATGGGCCCTGGCACACACCAAGGCTTTCACTCGTTCAGGCGTTTCAAAGCCCCTGTCCTCAACTTCCCAACACGGACAATCGAAGCCTGTCAGGATTCGCCCTGTAGCCCCAGCAGAGAGGTAGCGTGTCACGGCGCAAACCTGGGCACTTCTTGATCACTTCGGTTTCGAGTTCATGTTCGAGTGCTGCCCGCTAGAGCGGTGAGCGCAGAACTCTTGAGTCCATTCTGAGCAAGTCCGGGCCGTGGACAGTGTGGGGAGTCTTCATCGTCGTTGATGCTATGTTAGCAGTCGGGTGTTGCTTGGTGCTTGAAGGACTCAGTTTGCAGGAAGTTATACATCCAGCTCTTTAACATCCAATGTAGTCCAAAGCCTCCAGCAGCCACCACTGGTCTCAGCAAAATTTCAAAGACCAAAACGACTTCAAACTCCAGCTACATGCAAAAAGCATAAAGCCCATTTCGTGATCTGCCACGGGCCCGGAGGCACTGGCCAAAGACGAATTAGAAGAGAAGTAAAAGACCCGCCGAAGGGCTGTGTAGTGATCCTGCAAGACCTTCCCGAAGTCGAAAGCGTGACCGGTGTGGCCTGCGTAACTTGTATACTACCTGGATCGCTGAGCATCGAAACTATGTGAACTCTCTCCTGGTGCTCTGCATGAGCTAATTAGCCTAGATGTAGAGTTGCATGGTTTGGGCAAAAAGGTCCAAGCCCAAACTCCATGGAAATCTCAAGCCTGTGCAGGGAAGACAAGGACTTCTTCCAAGACGATCAAGTCTCCAAAACTCCGGAAGCACCAAACGTCCTGCAACAGCCATGCAATCCTCCAAGCTGCATGTTCCAGCCTTGGATGTAGCGGATAGGAGCCTTTGCTCCATAGCCGCGTGCTGTGTAAGCTACCACCTCAGCTGCAGCTCTTAGGCCTTAGGCCTTCTTCCTCCAGCATTGTGACATAGGTTTCGGGATGCTCGGTGGCCTTCACTCGGCCTCGGTTGTCTTCAGGTCCGCTTGGGCTGTCGGTGAAGGTCGACTGCCAGACGGAGGGCGCGAATCAAGCGACGTCGGAAACCAAACCTTCGAAGACGTCTCCGGTGCGATGCTCTTGAAGTTCTGTACTTGTCCACGGTGTCCCTCTTGTCGTTTTTGGCGGTCGTAGCTTTTCCCGATCTGTGGTATGTTGGACTCGGATGCCTTTGCCAGTTGTTGCCGGATTGGACTTCTCCGAAGCTCCCCTGTGCTCCACCTCATCAGCAGTTCCCCGAAGCCTGCATCGAAGTAGCTCGGGTTAGAGCGACTTGCGGCGGTCGGTTCGCGTAGAGTTACAAGATCTCCGACTTTAAATCCTGAGAGACAATAACTCAGCTAAGCCACGCCGGTCCGGCGCCGAGCAGATGCGGTAAACTTGCCGACACCTGCAGTGACAGCTGAAAACCTGCTTGGAGACCCCTCAGGCCTTGACCGCTGTGCAAGACAGGGTCGAAATCCAAGCATTTACTTGGGTCTGCGACACAGATTTGAGAAGCCCAGACTATGTCCTGAAGAAAGGAGCCTCAATCAAGCAGAGCCTTGAAAGAAGAATGACGAACGTCGCCCCTTCCCCTCTGACAAGCTTATTTCACATCGGCAGCCCGCTGCCAAGATGTGCGATCATCCCAAAGCCTCAGCCCCGGCGACTCCACCTTACTCGCAGAAGCTTAGGTAAGGCAAGGTTCTGCTTCGCCATACAGGTCCTGCAAGCGAGGACCCACAGTGAAAACTTGGTAGCGGCATTGGGAATTTGGGTTTTGAGGGTTTTCTGCTAGGTTCTCTCTCGAAGACACCTCATGCCGTGGGATGAACGTGCCTGCATCCTCACTCTTGAACCAGGCAACGATTTTCTTGGCCGGGATCACCACCTGGCACGTTGCAGAAGCCTAGGGCATTTTGGACCGAAGTGCACAGGTGCGGCGAGTACACATGTTGGATCCCACCATCTGCAAAAACGTGCTGAGAAAACGACTACGTGGCCGCACCAGAAAAAGGTCGGGTCAGACATCGACGTGAAGCCTCATAAGAGCAGGAGACACCTCCGAGGGGTGAGTCGGATACGGAGAGACCTTCAGCTGTCCTTTGTCAATCTGGCAACCTGAGGTCAGGGCTTCCACACACACAGACTTCTCTTGCGGCTGGGGAGGCTGGGACCAAGCTATCGCGAGAGGGGTTGGGACAGAAACTGCCTAGACTCCACGGTAAGATGAGCTATCCACCGTTACGACCACATGGATACCGAACCCTACAAAAAACAGCACTGAACCACTCGTGGCATCAGCTGAGCAGCCACCGCAGTGCCCACCGCCCTTAAGCACCTTTCGTTCGAAGGGTGCAACAGGCTCGGGTACGCTGGTTTGTGCACGAGTTTCTTTGAACAATGCATCGACAAGCCCGTCGCACTGTCAATATCTGTACCCTTCAAAGCTTGGAAGCCTGCCGCAGGTGTCAAATAAAAGCTTCTCCTAAGTCGGCCCAGGTGCCATTTCCGTTGCACCGATGCATTCCTTGGAGACGTCGAACGTCGACCGATGCCTGTGGACCGCACGGAGAGAGAGAGCGAAGTGTTTCAAGGCTTCAGCCCAGTCGAAACTGCCTGTGACGTCGCCGGCCGCTGTAGACCGTCTGTTTTTTCCCGTTGCAGTGGACCTTTGGGCGCAGGTTTCTGAAGCACGGCCGGGTCGAGCCCAAAGCCCAGATCCCGAGGCTCAGAACAGTGACAGCCCGCCTCACATTTGGAGAACACGTGGTGCCCAAAGTTCACCTGGCAAGCTTGGAGCACGTTTGCCAACACGTAGCCGACGGCCTTACATCCATGCTTCCCCGTTCGAAGTACCTAAAGCAATGGCTGTCTATCCACTTGACGGGTGACAAGTCTCCAGCTTCCTTTGGTGGTCTGAGGGTCGACCAATGCCGTCTACGAGTATCTACCATGCGTCACTGATGACCAGATCCCTGGAACACTTGTACCCCGTAGCCTTGTTGCCAGGCGCAATCTCGCCAAACCTGCTGGGAAGCAAGCATCGGACCGATGACTGATGTTTTGGGGATGCCAGTCATCCTCAAATCCAGGACCAGACCTACACTTATCTAATTTTTTCCGACTATGAATACTTAGGACTCGCATCCACTGGACATGTTTCATTTCGGGGTGATTGGCCTCCCGCGACGGTTTCGACGAAGAGTTTTAGTAAGCCCCACTTTGCTCAAGCATCCTTCGAATCTTTCCCGACGGCTTCGAAGCAAGGCATCTTGGCCTCTGTTTAGTGGCCTTGACGCTGATGCTCAGACCACAAGACAAGGACTTGGGATGCTTTGGCCTGTGTATGCAAGAACCAACTATAAAGTTGGACAAGTGGCTCGTCCAATTTGATCGTGACTTGGCCGGCAGCCCAGTAGCGAGCCTCAGTGTGGACACAAAAGCAGTGTCGATAGTGTTAGTCAGTCAGTCTTTGGTGCTGAGCCTTTGGCAGTTGACGATGTGTAGGCTCTGCTCATTTCAAACTTGAAACTTGGGCGTTCTGCGCCTGTAGAGGACAATGCTGCGCTGTACACCTTCAGGTTTAGAGAACATTACGGCTGTCCGAAAATTGACTGCGCAAATACTACGAGCTTTGTGTTGCCAGAAATGTGTTTTTGGTTCATCGGAGGAAGCTCCTTCCAAGATTTTCGGCACTGTCTGCTCCGAACATCTGGACGTCAAGGTTGCATCGGCAAAAACCGCAGATATGCAGGTAAGTACAAGTATAACTCTACGTTCAGGCATAAGGTATAGGCGCTTTGCTATTAGGTACAGGTACACGTACAAAGATAGCCTCGGACTTAGCTCTCGCACTCAAAGCCCGCTCACACTCACAAAGCCTGCAATTTTTACGAGCGTCAAACTCTTGCGGTTGAACGCCACTCCGGTGCGACCTGCTCTGGCATCCGACACCCCCTGCGTCAAAGGTCATGGAGGCGAACCCAAGAAGGGCCATGGTCGCAGGGCTTGGGCCTTTGCTGGCCGAGGACAAAGGGGCCTCAACCCCAGGAACCTTTCGTATCTTCGGAAGTTGCGTGCATGTGGCCGTACACTTTGAGGGGTTGTGCCGTTTTGCCCTGGCTCGAAGTTCGCAGAAAACAACTTCTGTTTCGGAGCCTTCGAGTCATTCTTTGACGTTGCTGGTTCTGTCCACTGAGAAGGAGCATAAACTTTGCAACCAGCTTCCAGCAACTGCTATGTTCAAGCACAGGTCCCGGCTACCAGCACTAACGCCAGTTGGGAAGGAAGTTGACGACTTGGGTGACCACCACCACCACCGTCACCACCGCGCCCGAAAGGGACCTTCTCACTCTCAGCTCTTCCTGCGGTTCTACGCCAGCCGGACGAGGAATGCTACGCTGAAAGCACTTTTCTCTGCTTTGAATGTTGTTGACGTCGCATTGTTGCTTTGTGCAACATCCCATCCTGCCGGACATAAGGTCTGGGATGGTCTGGGTCGTGCGTTCACGACCGAGTTCCTTTTCAGAGCTTGCCATACTGTGCCATCCCCACCCCAGAATCGCTGCCAGGCCGCACTCCCCCGGACAAGCTGATAAGTCATCGTTCCCAGTGCCCTGAACCCAACATGTATCACTTACCCCACGGGCACACAGCCCAAATAAAGTGTCCTCAGGCAGCAAACCCTCTCTAGGCGTCAGGCTCGGCAGGAGTACGCCCTGTCCTTGATGGTGCTCACTTCACCTCGCTAGGCAACGGCCGTGGTTGAGGGACAAGTGCAGTTTGGGGCCACACCTGTTCCGGCGGTTTCCAGACGACCCGTGAACAGGCACTGAGCCTCTTCTCGTCCCAGTGGCTTTTTGTCAGGGTCCTGGTCGGCATGAGCTTGAACACCTGGGCCGGTCTGAGGTGGGAGCTTCTGAAGCAGTTCCACAAATTGCAAGCAGGAGTTGTTGCCAGACCAGAAGCTTGATGAAGCTGATGGCGTGCACTGACAGGCAACAGATGCATGAATTTCCAGAATTTCAATCGTCGTTGGGGCAACTCGCGCTTCAACCCTGAGGCAAACTCGTTACCCCCGGCCCGAAATCCTGGACCGAAAAACCAAGAGCAGCTTGAGCTCTGCATCCCGATGCCCTGCAGAAAGCTTTGGCAAACCCAGAGCACGGGCCTAAAATTCCGTCCCGGCCACCTCCAACCTGTTGCTCTTGAAGCCGCAGGTCCCTTCGGCAAGCACAGGGTTGGGCGAAGTGGGCATTACTACAAGCGGCGGCGGACGGCCCCACCCAACAAACCAAGGAACAACAGGCCCGCCCGTGTCGGATTTCGAACACTTGCAAGGTTCACGAACGATCCAAAGCCCCTGGCTGTGTTTTATTTGGAGAGGGGGGGGAGGCAACAAGCGGTGGAGCTCCGCATATGCAATCTGTCAAACTACCGCTAGGCCACTAAGCGCCGTGTTTCTTCGACCAGTGCTTTACGTACACCTGTAACTGGGGTAGCCACACCGGTTGCAGATCGCTACACAAGTGCAGGTCAAGCGCGTTCACTGTTCACATCACCGTGTTAATGTACCAAGCATCAGCTACCAGGCTTGTCCGAAGCGATCATCAGCATTCACAATGCAAAGCCAACCGAGAACGAAGAACACTCCGTGTAGTATATTCGATGCAGCTTCTCGCACAGGATGCGGCGTCTGTGCTAATCAGAAAACCAGCAGCACTCAGCTCTCTCAGAAGTCGCTGATTGCGGTCGCTGAGGGTCTCAGGGCCTCCATTGGAGCCGCCTCCTTCGAGCCTGACTTTGCGAGCACCCTTGCAGATCTCCGGAATGTTCACCTGCGCGTCTGTGTGCCTTCTGTCGTGAGCTGTGCTTGTGCATGCCCCGCCGTTACATGCCGCCAACCCCAGCAAGAGTGCACCCTGAAGTGATGAAGTACTGCAGCCTTGAACCTAACATGGGAGCGATTTATTCTCGCAGCCGAAGTTCTAAAGCTTGGCATCTCTACAAAGCTCCTTGGGAGCTTTCCCTCCCCTTCGTTCTGCCCTGTTCGGAACTCTCCACCGTCCGGACAGTCAGCCTCGCGGTCTTTGTGGCCGATGTGGTTGTGGTATTCCTGTCGCCGAAAGGCTACAGTATCGAGGGCATCGCATCGTCAGGGCATCCCGATCTTCCAAACGTGTTTACAACATCCACCCGAACTCTGCCTCGACTTACAGGACTGCGCAAGGACTCGGACTCTTGTCTGCAATAGAAGCTGAGACTCGTGACGTGATGGTTGCGAGCTCACATGAAATCCGGAAATCGAAGTGCCCTCCTAAAGGCAGTACGCCGTAACGACGTCTCATGTTTACTTGGGACTCATGCCAGCCCCAAAACTCTCTCGCTCCACTTTGTGCAGCAGCCAAGCGACTGCCCTGCAGCAGTCTTCTAGACCCCGGGTCCTCATGCACCAGCACATCATCGCAGTAGATGCGGCAAGTGATCTTCTCCGCGTGCTTGCTGATGACCAATTCTTAGATGGGCATCTGCTGCAAGTTGGAAACGAGGCTTGGCCGCTCTGGGTTTCTCTTGTCGAAGGAAATTATTGAAAAGGAAGGCCTTCACGGTTACGAACATCGGCAGACTCTCGATCGGTCGGCGGCTAGAGCCCAGTGAACCCAGTGTTTGCAAATCACCGAAGCTGAAGCGAATGGAGGGGCTCCGGATCGGGCTCGAGTTCAAGGGGCTCCACAAGAGCTTTGAAGCTTCGGACTGCCGCTAAGAACTACATGGCTACACATGGACCCAGGCTGTAGCCCATCCAGCCCATGCAGGTGCAGCTGCTTGCAGCGATCTTCACGGCTGGGGTGTCATTTGCGAAGTTGCTTTTGAGGCTCATAAGGAATGAGTGCATGTCGACAGAGATGACGGGTCCCGGCATAAAGAGTTGACAGGCACAGAGTTGCTGAGCTCCCTGTTTTCCTTTTTGTGTATGTGTGTGTGTGTGTGCGCGCGTGCATGTGTGTTGCCTCGGGCTTCGGAGCTGCAACCCTGCGACCCTGAAAGAGCCTGAAACCTTCTATGAACGGTCTCGAGAAGTGGCTGTCTGGCTCGGAGGGCCGGGCATGGCAACGGGGTCGCACGGAGAGACGGACTTGCGAGAAACAGTGGCCAGAAGACAGCGAAACAAGAGGAAGACTCGGGCACCTGCACAACCTGCAGCGTTCATTCAGACGTCTTGAAACCAGAGACAATACTCAGATCCGGATCGTGTCACGAAAGAGGAGAAGGAGAATCCAGAAACCAAACATCGGAGATACACACGGACAGACCAAAGAAGCGAAGGAGACACGACCTCAGCCGAATTCAGTTCCATCCCATTTAATTATGCATGCCCTTCACAGTGACTTTTAGCAGGAGAGTTGCTTATTCCTCGTCTTTCTCATGCAATTTCTTCGCAATGTGTTTCGGGCCAACAGTCTGGGCATCGCGGCGGGTGTTTGGTCTGAAGGGTGCAGTAACCGATTCCTAAAACTTTCTTGTCTGAAATGGTTGTCAGCCACACAGACTCATAGAGTCATAGAGGCATCCCGGAATGTCGGCTGCAGCCTGGTGTCGCAAATGTTCTTGTGAGGCAGCACTATTGCAAATTGCCTGAAATCTTCTCTTGACAACTAACACGCATCCATCTATCCACCATTTACCACCGCTGACTCCGCCCAAATTTGCTACTCGCTCGATCTCTCTATTCGCATGGTGAATACAGCGGGCGAGATAAAGGCCAGGTGGTCTGGGAGACGAAGACGACGACTTGGCGCTTGAAGGTCAAGCGAAAAGGAAATAGAGGGTGACGAGACTGTGTTCTGACCAGGACGAGGATATTCCTCTGTATCTGACTATTACACCCGGCGGTCAGGTGCCAGGCCCCATTCGTGACACAGAACATGCGGTCCCAGCATCTCGAGTGCTCCCGATTCCCAGACCATCCGATGCTGTTCGAATGTCTCTACTTTACTTACTTTGTCTTGCATTTTGCACGGACTCAGATGCTTCCCGAAATGCATCTCAGTCAGCAGGCGAAGCATTTTCAAGCGCAAATGATAAGCTTAGTCAGGTGCTAGTTGAGAAGCAGCGGCATTTCCTGAACTGAGTCTTCACAATGCCACAACAAACGCCTTCGGTAGTAACTCCGCATACGAACATGCCATGATTCGCATGTCTGTATTTGCGTAACATTTAGGAGCCCTGCGGTGTTTCGGCCCCTGCCCAAAGTTCACAAAACTCTGTGCGAGTATCCTTCCAGTCGTGATTCGTGATTTTGTTTAAACTGCTAAACAAACTCGTTTCCAGAAAAATCGCTTTGCGCGCTCTCTTTTTGCATATGCCGCGTTGAAGCTGGACATGTGCCATTGGCTTATCTTCCACACCGCCCACATGCAAACAACAGGGAGCCTCTTTGCGGGCAGCGAAGCTAGAACAACAGCGGCCACAGTTGTTTGCATTGTCACTGGCAGCACTTTCGCATATTACATGCGCACCGATTTCTTGACACAAAGCATATGCCACGATGTGCCAGGGGCAAGGGTATGAATGACACCAAACTCAAGAGATGCAGCTTGGCCCACGCAGTCTGGATTCAAGCCCACTTGATGCAGTCACTGCTCCGGGACCCAGCGTTGATGTAGTAGGTACACGTACAGCTCAGTTTGCCTGGCTGAGCAACCTGCTGCTCTGCAAGCATGCGCATAAATACCAACACACCTATAAAACGACATATGATATTAATATGTGTTTATGCTGCCCCCCACCCCCCTGCCCCGGCTCCACAGCTGAGAGTCCCACTGAACAATCACATGTTGATTTGCTTTCGATGTTCGGCTCAGTGTGCGGTTCGATGTGGCTTCCGGGGAAGAACGCAGGAACTCATCTCGAGTCCCATCCGCTTCGCAAAGTACTCTGCCAAGTATTGCCATGCGGCTGCCGCTCTTCAGCGTGCCGTGCTGTCGGAAGTCTGCAGTCACTGTGTCCAGGGCCTTCCAACCGGGTGCGTCTCGGGTTGATGCCGGATCTGTGCAAAGAGTGCAGACGCACTTGTGGCATTTCTTGATCACTGATTATCGTGTGGAACGAACCTGCGGATCTCTGGGGTGAATAGCTTAGGGTCTCGCCTCTGCTGACTGCCTCATGCCTGATCCTTTCCTCCTTCACTTCGTATCCCTCCGGAATCGGACAAGCTGTGTTCTTGACTTCTGTGTACTTCGCAAGCCTGAACTCTGAGTGCATCGTCAGCTAGCCCTGTCAGAATCGAGCGCTCCCCAAATCACTGCTCGGATTGAAAAGCAACGTCGGCTGACCAGTTGGTGTCGAACACAGCTTTGCCAACTGGGACCATTTTAGAACACTGTGCAAAAACATGAAAGAGCGATAGAGAGACCTGAAGATGCGTGGTCTCCGACTCAGGTTGCTACTGCCATGGCTAGATCCGTCGGCCATGAAACCCAATCTGCACAGCATGTTCGCACAGTCGCAGACTACAGATTTCCAGCGATTTTGTAGCTCGAGACAGCTTTGCCTGCATTTTGCTGGTGCCGCTGGCCTGGCATCATCGACTGCTAGAACTGTGAGGATATGTGAGGATCATAGGACATAGGATGGCTTTCAACATAGGTTGACAGTAAGGCTGCACAGCTGCCGGGCCTGCCCGGGTTTGAGGAGAGCCTCTTTCGGAATCTTGATCTTGCGGTTGCCAGTGTCCGGTCCCTGGTACATGACCTTGAACACCTCTCCACCCCCGTGCTCGCCTCATGCAGAACTCTGCTGGATCTCTGTCAAATACTAGCAGGCTGTAGACGGCTTCGAGCAATGTTCAGGACAGGTCGCACATGTCGGCGGTCAGCCTGTGCTTGCCCGCGCCCAACCACCACCAGCTGCTCTGACGCCACCTCTCACCGTGGCAACCGTTGTTGTCGACGACCCTGTGCCCGCCAATGTACAGAAAGGAGCCTGAACAAACTGCGCTTCTTCTGTTTGGGAATGCGCTCACCTTTGCTTCGCGTGGTAGGCGTGTTGTGCCAAGACGCCGTCGTCTGAGGCAGTCCAAAACAAGTAGTGGCCCGCTTTCCTGATGACCAAGTAGCCACTGCACCTGCTGAACAAAAAAAACATGGGTGCACAGAATGCGAGCACGACCAAACACGACCTATTCACGTTGCGGCAGCTACGCATCGTGGCTGCTGAGAGTGTCTCTCCGCCTCATGCAGAAGGCGTTGCCGTGACGATGGGCAGGGAACCGGCCGTTCTCCTGCATAAGCCCACGTTGCCCGATGCTTCAAGACCAAGACAAACAAGTTGCAGCATGGCATGTCAACAGCTGGCCACATCCCTGTCCATCCAAATGTCCGGCACGGTCACAGTGTGATGAGAATGCCTGGTCAAACAAAGCGAAACACATTTTGCTGGTAGCAGATGATGGGCATAAGGAGTCTCAGTGCGGTAGTGACCGGTAGTGATTCTTTTTGGCCTCACTCGGATGGTTCACATAAGGATTGTGCCAGCGGCCGCCATCACACATTCCAGGCAAGCAGCAGGCGGCCCAGATCTGGGAGCCAACAGTGATGTCGGTGGTAGATGTACTTGCACTCCAATCCGGCCTCTCACTTGGGGCCAACTCTCTGCTATGCTGCTAGATCCTCCAAGCACCACACACTTAACAGTCTAACGTTTCGAACCCTGACAGCACGAGCACCGCTCCGGCGCGCGGCGCGCGCTCCGGCGCCTTCTCGTGCTTGAGGGCGGACTGTGGGACTTTCACCTTGCGGTTCCCGGTGTCGGGGCCCTGGTATCGCAGCTTCATCGCCTCGCCACCGCCTTTTTCGCACATGTCCACTCCCACCAGGTGGTAGCCGGGCGTGAGCCACTGGTTGCCGCTCGTCCGCTCCCGCTCGCCGTGGCAGCCGTTGTTATCGACGATCTGCCGCCCGTTCAAGCTCATCACAGAGCCTCGGTGCAACAAAAAGCCTCTGTGTGCAGCCTCTGTGTGCAGCTGCGTATAACCTTGAGATATAGAAACACTTCCTCGAAGAAACGATACGTCCAAATTGTCAACAAGGACCTCAAACCGCGAGCACTTTTGACTTCACCCTGTGTCTGCGCAGAACACTGGAGGAGTCGCTTCGAGCCGCTGACACATTCTTTGCGCCAGGCCGCCGTCATCGGATGCAGTGGTGAACTTGTAGTTGCCCTCCTTCGTGATAGCAATCTGGGCAGTGCACCTGCAAAGACGCGTCTCTTTCGCTAAGCCAACGCCGGCCTAGGCAAACTTTGTGCTCAGGCTTTGCGGGACCCGTTGCGAAGGATCATGGTACGGGCCTGAAGCCTGACGGCTTGATGAGACATGTGCATACTGTATCCATGCCCTGCCTCGCACAAAAGTGATTGTGGTGGTTGATTCCCCAGAAGCGACCGTTGTTCTGCACGGAGACAAGTGCAGAATTGGATTCAAAACACATCTGGCCGCGATTCGGGCTGCGAAAGCTGCAAGCAACACAATGGTTCGGGGAGGTACTCATGAAAACAATTAATTAGCAGAAATCATCAAGCGCTAGCATTCTTGATAATTAGCAGGCTTCCGGCGAGTGTGCTGTCTCGTCTGACTCTGTTTGCAATCCCGGTCCATGTAGATCTCTGGCACGGTCACCGTGTGGGACGGATTCCTTGGGATGGCGTTTGCAAAGGGTAGAGGAAACACCTAAACCACAGCCGAACCAGCCCAGCACCAAAGCCTCGAAAAAAGGCAGTGAACGAATATCTGTTTACAGCTTACCCGGCTTACCCTGTAGGGCATTGGTTTTGGCAGTGTAGCTTGCACAAGAGACAGAATTTTGCGGCAAACCAAGCTGGATATCGGCCCACCAGAAGCTTGAATCCAGCCTCTGGATCGTTAGAAGCTGGAGATCAACGCACATTCACGTATTCACAATCCACTTGAGCCCGAAGCGGAAATAGCCCCAACTCGGACATACTGAACGAACTCCAAGATTCAAAGTCCCACTTCTCGACGCCTGGAACCATTACGCCTAAAATCCTGAACTGCAGTGCAGTCTAGGATCATGTTGTCAAGGTTTGGCACCGAGCAACGGTGCTGGCCGTAATAGTAATTACACTCTGCACCGTCCTGCTGAGGAATCCGTGACGAAGGGCAAATGGTCTTGCTGCCTTGCGCTTGCCTCTGGTGCAAACGCAGGCAAAGCTGCGCATGAACTGGCGGCCAAGGCCAAAGCTGCCAGAAAAATCTACCCCGGGGCCAGGCCGAATACCCGCGCCATTAGCTCTACGACACCCTGCGCCGAATGCGAAGCTCGAAGCTCTCGATTCAATTGGATTGTAAAGAGATGGTGGGGTTCGTGAACCAGTATCTGGGGAGAGAGCTCGTCCGCACGACGCTGCCGTGCCGACCACCCGACCTACACACGAATTGCCACGACCAACATCTACAGCGGGGTCCTTCAGCTCCACCTCCGTGGCAGCCTGGCATAAAACGAGTTCCACGCAAAGCTCCGGGGACGGCCCTAGCTCTTCGCTCTGCTCCCATGGAAAACCGGCCTTCTCGTACTTTAGGGCAGATCTCGGGATCGTGATCTTGTGGTTGCCAGAGTCCGGCCCCTTGTACCGCACCGTGAAGGCCTGGCCACCTCCTTTCTCACCTCGGATCGGGAGAACACGAAACGACAGTCACGACAGTGTGACAGTGTGAGCCTTTTTCGGGGGCGCCCTGGGGCCTTGGCCATGAAACCCTGCTGATGCTATTCAAAGGCAGCTCATGGGCTTATGGGCAAGCCGAAGCCGGGCAGCACATGTCCGCCACCAAGCGGTGCCGTCCTGCTTCCAGCCACTTCCGATGACTCCCCCGCTCCCTGTTTCCGTGACAACCGTTGTTGTCGACGATCCTGTGCCCGTTTAAGAACAGGAAGGAGCCTCAGATCACACATAACGACGCCTCCGGCTGCTCCGGCTCTCACTTCGCATGCTGCAGGCAGGACACCATCGTCTGAGGAAGTGTAGAAATAGTAATGGCCTCTTTTCCTGATATTCAGGAACCCGGCGCACCTGTGCAGACTTGGGCTCGCGATTCGAACCTTTCTTCATATCTCTGTTGCAGATATTTTACGCCGGCATGGCGTGGCTCTTTTCAAAGATGAAGCATACCTACAGCCGCCACATGCACCAGCACCAATCTCCCACCTGACGCAGAAGTGATCATGTTGGCGGATGCCGGGAAACCCATCCACCTGCAGATCAGGGATCGCGTGCAACACCTGCAACAAAATCGTGCCATGTCCCGGTCCGTGGAGACCTTCGGCACAATCACGTGGTGTTCGGGTGTCCTCGCAACTACAGCATCGTGGGGAGGTTTATGGATGGGGTTCAACTTCTGTGTTTTCACTTGAGTGGCTCCTTTCGCCCAATACAATGCTTCATGCCAAGCGTCAGTCTGCCAAGGTCTGGCACATGGCAGTGCGACTGGTGGTAGTAGAAGGAGCATTGCAAACCATCCTCATCACAAAGCGGGGCAAGGTCTGTGACGTGAAGGAATGCAGCTGTGGCAAGCTCCACTGAGCCCAGAAAGGATCTCTTCACTTGGCAAGAACGGCGGGCGAGAGCCCAAAGCCCTCTCTCCGTGCAGCGGGCGGAGCCTGGCCTGGAGGACTGAAGGCTTCCTCGCCTCGCCGAAAAGAAGGCCAGGCACAGCAGGCACCGCAACAGGGGGCTTTCTTTTCTCCAGGTTCTCGGGAGCTTTCAGAGGGGAAGCGATCCTCACATGCCCAGCAAAGAGGAGATTCAGCAATGCAGAATCGACGGAACTTTGTTGAAAAAAAGCTTGTAGCTTCTTCACTTGCTGTCGATAGGTTTTATACCGTGGTCGTAGGCAGACCTCTGCTCCTGCTTCTTAGCAAGACGGGGCCCCGCTGGGAGCGGCTCTCGAGTCGAGGAAGCCTTTCCCTGCCCTAACGACCTCAGAGCCTCAGAGAGTCCCCCCTTCTTCAAGAGGAGCGGCCTCTTCTGTACGTTTTCAACAACCCCCCCCCCCTAAAGCGTCTCGCCTTCTGCCGCAGCTCTTTGACATGGTGGTCCGTGATCGTCTGCGACCTGTAGCTGGCGAGCCGCTAACACTTCCTGGTATTGTTGCGGCGCTGTAGGCCCCTATGTTTCAGCGTTGGTTGGTTGGGCTTCGGGGGATCGGGCTGGATATAGAAAAATGCGAGTGCGCAACCGCGTCCGACACTGCAGCAAATGCGTCACACAAGGCCGACTCGAGCAATCGTGAACCCTGCCCGAGGCCGTCTGAGACCGCCTGAGGCCCAAGCGCGGGCAGCTTTGGCTGCGGCACCGCTGCTCGGTAGATCTCCATCTCGAGGAGGTGTATTCCAGTCTTGGCTCGGCACGGCCAAGAAGAGCTTCGGAATTGAAGTCCGATATGAACAGGGCGCGGCGGTGCTCGTGCAAACCCGGGAACGGAACGGAACGCGAACGAGAACGGAACGGAACGCAACAAAGATTCTCAGAAAAGGAGGCGAGGCAGATCTCCAGTTTACTGAAACCACCGCAATGATTTTTAGCAGGTCGGGAATATTCATTGGCAAGTGGTGGTATGCATGGGGAACAACAAGAAGCGAAAAATCTGCAACTAGGCAGCCAGCACGGGCCTGCGGTGTTGTTTTCCCCTGTCTTGCACGTTGCCTGCAAACCTCCTCAATGGTTTTGGGCTCCCAGGTTCAGCAATTCTTAAATGGGCATCGCATCCCTGACCGAGGCCCGAATGATTTTTGCAGGCCTCCCAAAATTCATTTGGGCTGTCCGGACAACTTCGGATGGACAAAGCTTGACCAAACCACTAATGATTCCTCGCAGGTTCCCAAAAATCATTTTGAGGCAGCCGCACTTATCAGGTTTAGGGTTGAGGGTTGATGGCTGGGGGCTCGTTCTGGAATCTGCTGGGGATCTGAGTCGCATTGAGTCTAAGTTCTCCTTTGGGTTCCCAGGTTCGGCAATTTTTAAATGGGCATCGCATCCCTGACCGAGGCCCGAATGATTTTTG